CCCTGAAACTGCATGACAATTTTACCAACGCGTCTTCATGCTTACTATGGCAACAGTGTTCAATATCTGTAATGAGGCAGTAACAATGACCTTCTCTGTTGCCTGCCGTTTGGGGTAACATTGCATGGTCCTGGGTTTTGGCTCCGTGGGTAAGAGCGCATGCGTAGCATGTCCACAGTCCTGGGCACAACCTCTCACATAAAAACCTGGGGCCTGGTGGAATATGCCTCGCATTTTAACACTCGTGAGAGAGAGGCAGGAGGCTCTAGAGTTCAAAGGTCGCCCGGGCTATATAGCAATCTGCTCCCCAACTCAGACAATACCTGCTGTGTAACAATAGGGAATAACATTCACATTTTATGCTAGTAAATCAATAAGAGAGGTGAAAATAAGAATAGGCCATGAGGTGATTCATAGGCACGGGGCAGCCAAGGGCCTCCTGAACATCTAAGTCTAGGGACTGAGCTGGAGGAAGGGGTTGGGGAGTGTGGCTGTATTCTCCTGATTGGCTGGATGGGGTAAGAAGAAATGAGGGTGGGCTGGGAGCCTGAAAAGCCCCCCACACACACCAGGTCCCCACCAGGTGGCCTCAGAGTCACCCTCAGTGTGACTAGAGGAAACTCCCTTCTTCATGCTGCACAATTTCACATTGCTTCCCTGGTCATTCCTTCACTCAGAGTCCCTTCCCCTCACCCCCTAGCTCCTGTCATTTCTTGGCTGTGGTCCAGCTGCAGCCTCCCTAGGGCCCCTTCCTCAGGGCCACTGGCATAGACATCCCGCTTGTTACAAAGGGGCCTGCACCTTCATCTGGGTTAGGCTCTTCCTTGCCTGGAGAGTTGGTTCGAACAGTGCCCATAAGCCTGGTGTCACTGCACACTTGGGATAGGCAGACGGAGGATTTCAAACTCAAGGCTAGCCTGGATTAGATAGCAAGTTCTAGACCAGCCTGGACTACACAAGAGAAAGATGAATGAACAAATCAACAAACAAGCAAGCCTGCCTGTATGCATTTGGTAGGGCTAGGGCATGCCCCAAAGTCTGTGAGTTGCAAGACAATAGTACTTAATAGTACTTCTGCGATGAAGTCAATTCGTCCGCCGGCCAATTTATCTATTCCATCAAGAGGAAAAGTGCGAGCAGCCTGCTTCTGTGTGCCTCCCAGTACTACTCAAGCCAGTGTCTTGCCTTGAATGTGTATTTTGGGTCTCATCCAACATGCTGGTTAAAGTTCTGGTTTATAGGAAGCACACAGGATACGGGAAAATTAGATGATTCATAAGGAAGTAACTTGATAAGTTAGAATGAGAACATTGTACAAACATAGTCTTGACTCTGAAAGGTCGATGTCATAAAAATAAAAACACGCACGTGATCACCGCGGTCTAACAGAAAGTAACTGTGTTCAATGCACACACCTAGCTGGTCGCCTAATTCAACAAACAAAAGCGGGAGTTGCCAACCGTGACTCAAGCTTGGATATTCCCAGAGCTAGTGAAGCTGAGGCAGGTGGGTTTTGAGTTCAAGGCCTCCTTGGGCTATGTATTAAGACCTTGTGAAAGAGAAAGGGAAGGGGGGAGGGAGGGGAGGGAGAAGGAAAGGTGAAAACCAGCTGGAGAGAAGGCTCAGCAGTTAAATCATTTACTGCTCCTGCAGAGGGCGCAGGTTCAGTTCCCAGCACCCACCTCACACATCTCCCTGCTGCCTGCCACTCCCTCTCCCTAGGATCTCATGCTCTTTCCTGGCCTCAGCAGGTTCTGCACACAGGTGGCACACACACACACACACACACACACACATTCAAGCATGCACTTAAGTAAAAATTAATCCTAAAATAAATAAAGAAGAAAGATTAAAAAAAAAACAAGAAAAAGATTTGAGGTAGGGAAGGAGAAATAAGCCTACATTTGGGGCAAATCTGAACTGGGTATCGGATGGCACAGAAGAGCTACTATTAATTCTGTGAGGCAGAACAATTATAATTGTATCACACTCACGAATGAGGATGGAGGTGCACACTGGTCTATTAGGAGCAAAATATCAAGCTTCCAGACTTTACTTTACAATTGTTTAGCCAAGAAAAAAAAATGAAACAAGTATGAAAAATGTTGAGCATTGAATCTTGGAGGTTAAAATAGAAAAACCCCTGGTGCCATTCTTCCGTTTTGTTTGAAACTTTTCAAAGGATGGCTGAGGAGCTGAGTCTCCTTTGCTTATCTTTGGGCTAAGAATTTATTTCGCTCTCCTTTCTTTCTCTTCTCCTCCTCCTCCTTCTGGGTCTCATGTATCACAGGTGTAGCTGATGATCCTGAATTCTGATCCTCCTGCCTCAACCTCCCAAGTACTGGGATTAGGGTTGCGAACCAGCACACCTGGGTTTTGTGTGTGTGTGTGTGTGTGTGTGTGTGTGTGTGTGTTTGTGGTTCTGGTGATGGAACCTAGAGCTTTTCAGACAAGCACTTTACTAAATGAACTGCACCTCAGCCCCATCCTTTCCTTCCTTCCTTCCTTTCTTTATTTACTTTTACAGTCTAGGGATGGAACCCTGGCCCTCACATAGGCCAGCCAAATGCCCTAACACTGAGCTACACCCAGTTGGTCTTACTGCTTTCTTACTTCCTGTCTCAGCCCCACAGCCTGAGAGTCGTTGGGAGGCCTAGTGTCTCCCTCCTGATACTGAGCTGGGGCCAAGGATTGTTTGCCTTACCACAAACAATCTCTTTGTCTTACCACAGTTCCAGACACACGCAAGGGCTTTGCAAATACCACTGCTCTTTCATGCCGGGCACCAAGAACGTCTTTAGCTTCATTCACTCCCCAGAGACTTGCTGGGGTGGCCATTAGTGTCCCATTGTACAGATGGGGATACTGTACCCTTGCCCTAGTGAGACCTTTAGGAAGGGCAGAGCTGAGCTTGCACTGGGTCGGGTGGGCCAGAAAGCCTGGCTACTGTATCCAAACTGCATCTCTGCAGTTACTCCTTGATGCCTGGGTGAGATGGGTGCCAAAAATCATCTATAAGTGAGAAGCTGAACCCACAGGGAGCACAGGCTGTCTCTGGAACTGAGCAAGTTAGAGTGAAGCTGTTTTTGTCTTTTCACCCAAAAATGTGAACATTCAGACACTTGCTTGTTAAATGGTTCCTTGCCAAGGGATGGAGACTCATGCCCAAGAGACAACCAGCTGGGCCAAGCCACCTTCTTCACTTCCTGTCTTCAGCTACCCCATCATAAAGTGAGCCACCACAGCGATAGATGTCAGTCTTACTCCCTGGGCTGGTTGCCGTGGCTACACGGGTTAGTCGTGGAGAGCCCTTAAGTTTTGTGGTATTAGGGTTTCTGCATGCTAGGTGAACGCTGTGCAGCTGAGCTGAGCTGGCCTCCAGCACCGTGGGAAACCTCATTAGAAAGTGCCTGGCTCATGGTAAGTTAGTAACTCCTCCCCAGTTTTACAGAGCGAGCACTGTGCAGCATTCCAGAGCCAGGTCCTCTTCCCTGCCTCCAAATTCTCCTCCAGAGCACACCCTCAAGTCGGGGACTCCAGGTTTCCATTTCCCACATCCTTCTCCTTTAAAAATGCAAGCGCTGTTTTCCCATAGTGCTCCCTGGTTCCTCCCCCCCTTTTCTTCTCTCTCTCCTTTTCCCTCTGCTCTCTCTCCTCTCACCTCCTTTTCTCCTATCTTCTGCTCTTAACATAACATAACAAAAAGGAGGCTAGGCCTCTGGATTTTTTTTTTATTTTATTTTATTTTATTTTTTTTTTGGTGTTTATTTAGCCAGACTGACCTGGAAGTAACTATGTAGCCCAGGCTTGCTTTGAACTTCAGGCAATCCTCCCATGGCCCCTTCAATGTTGGGATTCCAAGTATGAGCTACCATACCTGACCTGGGCCTCCATTTTTATCAAGCCTTGTTAAGTCTCTCCAGCTGTAAAATGAGGCTTCCTAGCTTCTTATCTGACCAGGTAAGGGCAGGTCATTTGGGCCCCAGTGGACATTGACCCTTGCCAGGGAAGCAGTCCCCAACTCTGTAAGTATCCAGCTGCCCCACACCCACCCGAGGACAGCAGGAGAGAACAGAGGTCCCGTCGTGTGGCAGCTGCAGCCTCTCGGCCCGGCCAAGTCTGGACCAGAGGCTGGCTATGATCCAGCTGGCTCCATAGCTTGGGACACTTTTCTAGACAAACTGGTTTTTCCCCTGGCTGGCATCCCAAAAAGAGTAGCGCAATTCGCTTCTGGCCCCAGACCCAGAAAGCTCTAGAAGCTGACTGTTCTATACTCCCAGGAGTGTACCCCCTGTCTTAGGGGAGCCTGCTGTGAAAGTAGGAAGTAGGTTATGTGCGGTACCCCAAGTCTTGCTGCTAGGTCTTGTCTGGCCTCTGCGAAAAAGCTTCTAGAAGATCAGAGCCCTATTAGCTAGACTCTCCTGGTACAGTGGCGGGAGGCGGGACTTCTCCAAGGCTCTGCGCTGGGGTCCAGGGAGAGCCAAAAGGCCCAGGCTCCGATAATAAGTTCGTGGTTGTGCTGTCCTGGATGCCAGAAGAAAGCAGAGCTGGCAAAGGGTAGGGGGAAAGGCAAGAGAGAACAAACTGAGGAGGCCTGGGTTCCCTCCATGTCCTAAGCAGTCCCCGACTCTGTGGTCTCCTCGGTTGGTCCTGATACGTTTATTCTGCACAGTGAAGTTCTGTATGGTTTGGAATGGTCTCTCCCCTCTCGGGGCCTCAGTTTCCCTCTCTGTCCACAGGAGGCAGGACAGAATCATTCTTGCAGCAAACTCTGTTTGCCAGGCTCTGTGGTGAACCGTGTAGATGCACTGGCGGTGCAGAGGGTCTAAGGAGTGAGGGCTGGGGGTTCTGCACCACACGGTCAAAAGGCCCCGACTACCTCGTGATAAGAAAGGGCTTGTCAGATCCGCCATGGCGGGCCCAGCGCTTTGCATGTCCCTGGCTCAGAGTTCCACTTAGACCAGACCTAGGTTATCCAGGGACGGTGCCCCAGTGACCCCCTGGGTTTTCACCGCGCCGCTCCCGAAGCAGAGCTCGCGAAAGGTTCCTTGGCAACCTGGGAGGAATCCAGCCGCAACCACAGGCTCTTCCTTTCCCCTCCCACCGCCTCCTACTGCGGGCGCCGGGGGCGGAGGCTGCCAGCCCATTATAAAAAGCTACCGAAGCTGGTGGCGGAGGGACTCGGAGCTGCGACGCTGCCCAGCATCCGAGCCCACCGGATTCCTACACTCCAGCCATGGTTCCCTCGCCTCTCGCGTGGCTGCTGCGCCTGGCCGCGTTCTACCATCTATGCACCCCGCTGGCGGGTGAGTGGGTACCTGGGGAAGAAGGGAGGAGTGTGTTGGGGTGCAGACTGCATTTCTCTGGTGGGGGGGGGGGAGTCGGCCCCCGCAAGTCCGGTCTTTCCAGTGGCTACTGGGGCGGGAGTGGGGGCACAAGGTGTGTGGGGAAGAGAGTGAGGGTTGGGAGAAGCTGAGCAGTTTCCTGACTGGTGGACTAGGTTAGTTCTCCCTACTGAGGTTAACTACCTAGCCTGTCTACGCCCTGGCCGGAGGCCAAAGAAGAGACCAGACTTCCCTTTGCCCTGTTTTTCAAGGCCCTTAAGAGTAGTTCCGGTCAAGGTCACCAGAGGCTTGCCACTGTTGGGGCGTACAGATCGTCCCTCTGTCTGTGCCCCATCATCCTGGCCACCTCCTCCAAACACAGATTAGAAAATATTTTATCTCCACTGACCTGCCTACTGGACTCCACTACCTGGCAGTACGAGGTGTAGACATACCTAGGGACATAGGGAAGATGGAGACCTAGAGATGGTTAGAGAACCAGCTCACAAGCCAGGAAAGGGTGATGCCTTTGGCAGGTTGGTACTCAGAGAAGGTTATTCTTTGCCTTGGGGCACACAGTGAAACTGGGAGAATGTGAACCAACCCCCAGCTTCCAGACTATCTCCATGGAACTAAATCACCAGTGCCACAGGGAGCTGGCGATGAGTGGGTGGGGAGTGGGGGTGGTGAAATAAAATTGTGCCTGGCTTTCTGCTGTCTGAGCTCTGGCCACAGGCCTGGGATATCTGGGGACAGTGAGCACTGGGAAGTGGGAATCGGACGGACAATGGTTTGCCATCACCTTGCTGTGTGTCCCTGACCTGAGTCTTGACTTCTCTGGTCTCAACTGCTACACCTGTCAGTGCAGCTACTGCCTGGCTGGGGAGAAGGCTTCAGTGTCTAGGGAGGCATTTTGGGAGGTGTGCATGGTGGTAATGGGGTATCACTTTTCCTAAGCTCGTGGGGAAATCCTAGGCAAGGCTGGACAGGAGACCCTGAATGTTTGAGGTCTGAGGACCTTAATCACATCTGCTGGCTTTGCTAGGAGATGGTGGGCATGATGCAACCCTGGTGAGCCTCAGCTCCTTCTCCTCTAGATGAGGTTTTCAGCTAGGTCCACCCTGGAGCTCCCCAGCAAGGGGGGGGGGGGGGGGTCTCAGGCTTTCGGGCTGCTGCACGGCTGGTGCAGGGCATCTGCGTCAGTCCCCAAATGTGGGTCTGCAGGGCTGTGCCAGCCCATCGCTCTGGGCTTTATGTAACGAACCTGCAAACCAACAAGGCTGCTGCTCCCCAGCACTGACGCATCCCCTCCCACTCAAGTCTCGGCAAGAAAGAGAAAAGAAAAGATCTGTTTTCAGCTGTTACAGCCTGCTTCCCCCACCCTCCGTGGGGGTGGAGGGGGGTAGGGGCAAACAGCCTCAGGGTCAGACCCAGGGCCCTGTGGGTTTAATCAAGAGCTCCCCCACTTCTCTGTGGGTGAAGGTTTTATGTGCCGCCAAGCACTTCTGCGTGCATCTTGTCCATTCATTTGGCACACACGAGCAGGACACCTGCTGTTTGGCAGGCTCATTTCTGGGTGCTGGGACCATAGCCCTGAATAAAGAGCCAACGAGCCCAGCTGAAGTTTGACTGCAGTACACAAAAATAAACCAATGAGCCATTCTGTCTATTAGAAAGAAAAAGCATTGCAGGGGGCGGGGGGGGGGGCGGGGGACTTAGCTTGTTTTGTTTGCTTGTTTCTTTTTTGTTTCTGAGACAGGGTCTTTCCATGTAGACCAGGCTGATCTCACATTCATGCTCTTCCTGTCTCGGCCTCCTGGGAGAGGGCTAGGGTAGGAAATGCGTTGCTCCTTGCCTATCATGTTGGCATTAACAAAGGAAAGAAGTTTAGGGAACAGGTGAGCTCGCTCTAGGGTGATAGTCCTTGCAAGTGATATTTGGCAATTTCCAGAGGCATTTTTTTTTAATTATTATTACAGGCATCCCAATATTTTTGCTCCTGGCATAGAGTCCACAGCGTCAGCTTCCACAATAAAGAGTGAGCAGGTTCAAAATGTGAACAGCATGGCCGTTGAGAAAAGCTTCCCCAAGGGCAGAATGCACCCATCATTAAAAAACGTGTAGTCTCAAGTCACTCCATACTGTCATGTTCATTTTAAAGGTGAGAAAATTAAGGACCCAGATGAGTAAAGGCTCAAGTCCTCTCCATTGGTGCACCCAGGATCCAGCATCCTTAAGGGAAACCTAGTACATATTTATTCCAGGAAGCCTCCCCTGATTACTGACGTTTGAAAGTTATCTCACATTCCTGTAAATCCTAGTATGTTTGTGTCTGGCCAGAATGTTCAATCCTTTACCAGGACTAAACTAGCTCTGCCACGAAGTAGACTGTGTTCTGGGTAAGGGACTGAACCACTCAGATCTTCAGCTTCTGAATCTATAAGAAGAGGATAACAACCTGCCCTCTGCAGGGGCTGGGGGCTAATAGAAGCCAATAACACAGGATCTGATGCTAGGTGCAAGCAGAGAGGTCCTCATCCCCATCCTCTTACCTGCCTGTGGATCTGGGACCCTTCTGAAGAAAGAGACGGACCCCATTTACCTGCCCACCCCCAGCAATGCCTCACAGCACCCAGCTCAGGGCCCCCACAAGAGGGAGGAGCCAGCATTTGTTGGTTGCCTCAGTAAACAGTGATCATTACAAACAGCCTCAGCATCTGTAGTTCAAAGCACTCAGGGTGAAAGACCAGAAGGCTGGGTATAGACTGAGACATAATTCAAGCCAGTGCTGACTGATTCAGGAAATGGATGGATGGATGGGTATGGATGGATGGATGGATGGATGGATATGGATGGATGGATGGACGGATGGATGGATATGGATAGATGGGTGGATGGATGGATGGAGGTGGATGGATGGTGGATGGATGGATGGATATGGATAGATGGATGGATGGATGGATGGATGGATGTGGATGGATGGATGGGTGGATGGATGGATGGATGGATGGATGTGGATGGATGGATGGGTGGATGGATGGATGGATATGAATGGATGGATGGATGGATATGAATGGATGGATGGATAGATATGGATGGATGGATGGATGGATGGATAGATAGATATGGATGGATGGATGGATGGATGTGGATGGATGGATGTGGATGGATGGATGGATGGATGGGTGGATGGATGGATATGAATGGATGGATGGATAGATATGGATGGATGGATATGGATGGATGGATAGATATGGATGGATGGATAGATATGGATGGATGGATGTGGATGGATGGTGGATGGATGAATATGGATGGATGGATGGGTGGATGGATGGATGGATGGATGGATAGATATGGATGGATGGATGGATGGATGGATAGATAGATATGGATGGATGGATGGATAGATATGGATGGATGGATGGATGGATGGATGGATGTGGATGGATGGTGGATGGATGGATGGATATGAATGGATGGATGGATAGATATGGATGGATGGATGGATGGATGGATAGATATGGATGGATGGATGGATAGATATGGATGGATGGATAGATATGGATGGATGGATGGATGGATGGATGGATGGATATGGATGGATGGATGGATATGGATGGATGGATGGATGGATGGATAGCTATGGATGGATGGATGGATAGATATGGATGGATGGATGGATGGATGGATGGATATGGATGGATGGATGGATATGGATGGATGGATGGGTGGATGGATGGATGGATATGAATGGATGGATGGATAGATATGGATGGATGGATGGATATGGATGGATATGGATGGATGGATGGATGGATATAAATGGATGGATGGATAGATATGGATGGATGGATGAATGGATGGATGGATAGATATGGATGGATGGATGGATAGATATGGATGGATGGATGGATGTGGATGGATGGTGGATGGATGGATATGGATGGATGGATGGATATGGATGGATGGATGGATGGATATGGATGGATGGATGGATGGATATGGATGGATGGATGGATGGATATGGATGGATGGATGGATATGGATGGATGGATGGATGGATATGGATGGATGGATGGATATGGATGGATGGATGGATATGGATGGATGGATGGATATGGATGGATGGATGGATGGATATGGATGGATGGATGGATGGATATGGATGGATGGATGGATATGGATGGATGGATGGATATGAATGGATGGATGGATAGATATGGATGGATGGATGGATGGATGACTGGTGAGTGGATTGGTGGCAGGCAGTGGGTGAAATCGATGGGGAGGCTGGGACTTTGAAAGAGTGACAGATGGACAGGTAGGTGGGTGAGTAGGGTGGGTAGATGGATGGATGAGGATGATGGGAATGAGTAGAAGCAGCGAGGAGGACAGAGGAAGTAGGAGGATAGAAAGATGGGTGGATGACGGATGAATAAGTAAGTGGGTGCATAGACGGATGGGTGGACTGGTGGGCGGATATATCTAAAGCAGCGACAAGTAGATTGAGATATTACCTTATTGTATGAATATTACTGAGTACCCGTGTTGTGTTCAGTGCAGAGATACACGGTGACAGCGAGATAGACACAATCTCTGAGTCCCTGACGACTCGTTTGGAGGACAGTTAGATGGCTAGCCACACAGGAGCACAGCCTCCTCTTCTAGGAATGAGAACTTTGTTCTGAAGAAAGGAAAGGCCTCCCTGAGTCAGTTACATAGCTGTCTTGGTAGATCCCAGCCAAGTGGCTCATGGCAGAGGCTGACTTTGTGGCTCTGCCAGCTGGGCTGGTGGCAGTGGTCTTCTCTGTCCTAATCTGGGGTCCTCCCTGTCACACATCCTCCCTTTCCTCCTCCTATTGCAGGTCACCCCAGGGCTTTCTCAGACCCATGCAGGAGTGGCCACCAAGCTATGGTCACAGGGACTTGGGGGCAGAGACATGCAACATGCAGCTAAATTATTCTTAGGTCTACTGGGGATGGAGGAGAGTTACAAATCTGTATTATAATTTGGGTAGGGGGTTGTGTATGTGTCTGTCTGTGTGTGTGTAGGCCAGAGATCAACCCCTGTGTTGTTCCTCAGGAATTACCCACTATCCACCTTGTTTTTGAGACAGTCTCTTCCCTGGGGTCTGGAGCGCACTGATTCGTCTCTACTGCCTAGCCAGTGAGCCCCAGCCATCTGCTTGTCTTTGCTTCTCCAGTGCTGGGATTACAAGCACACACTGCCCTGCCTGGTTTTCTACACAGCTTCTGGGACATCAAACCCAGGTTCTCGTGTTTGTGTGGCAAACACTTTACCTACTGAACCACTTCCCCAGGCCTAAACTGTGACTTTCACATCCTGGTTCTCGGGGAGAGAGGACAGTACTGTGACTCAGCCAGTGAGTTCAGGAGCTCCTAGCCCTGGCTTTTGATGACCCAGCTCACATCCACAGCCCAGGCTTCCTTTCCCACAATGTGCAGTGAGTGGCCCATGGCCCAGGAGTGATGTGGAGGTGAGTTAGTTAGGAAGTCCGGGTGTGTACTTGCCTTTGGCTAGTTCTTTTTTAGGGGTTGTGCAGAGGGCAACCAATCTCATGCATACCAGGCAGGCACTATATCCCCAAGCTTCACCTCCAGTCTCCTGTGTCCATTCTTGGCAAGATGGAGTGTGTTTGCACATCTATGTGTGTAAGTATTTGTGCACAAGTTTTAGTGGAATCTGGGGAACAACTAGGCTCCCAGGTCATAAAGACCAAGCCAGATCAGCATGCTCACTCCCCACACTGCTTCTTAGGGATTCTTGGGTTCTAGATGTTCAGCATGACCTTTACTTGGATCTAGAACCCTAACTCTTCCTCGTTTTTCTCCCCATTTTCCATGAATATACACGGGGAAGATGACAGGACACACTGCTGGGCATTGAGGACAGTGGTTCTCAACCTGTGGGTCGTGACCCCTTTGGGGGGTGTCTAACGACCCTTTCACAGGGGTCTCATAAGACCATCCGCATATTAGATATTTACATTACGATTCATAATAGTAGCAAAATTACAGTTGTGAAGTAGCAATGACAGTGATTTTATGGTTGGGGTCCCCATGACGCAAGGAGCTGTATTAAGGGGTTGCAACATTAGGAAGATTGAGAACCACTGATTTAGAAGGGGTTTGAAATAGAATGCAAAAAAAAGTCAAGTGTTGGTTTATATCAGATAATTGGGTTTATCCATTAATAGAAACCCCTGTCCAGGGGCTTTTGCTGCACAGCTATCTGCATGCCCTTGACCCCTATTCTGCCCCTGCCTTTTCTCCTGAACTTATCCCAAACTCATTCTGCAAAGCACAGGGGCACCTGCTCAGCAGACCCCCACCCCCTCATTTCCAGGCAGGTAAGCTTACCTGTTTCACGTACCTGATTCCTGTGTGAGGAGGAGAAGTAAGGCTAATACATGCTTTATTATGCCAAAGGCAGTGATGGGCAGTTCAAGGAAGGCCACGGGCCAGGGACCAGGACTGGGCAGGGCCACTCCCTCGCCGTGCAGGCCAGGTAACCTTAGGCAGGTCTGTGTCTCGCATAGAGTCCTCTCCCCTGCTATGACTTCATTTTAAAAATCAGCCCTTCCAGGCTGGGCACCATGGCCCACACCTTTAATCCCAGCACTCTGGAGGTAGAGACAAGTGGATATTGGTGAGTTAGAGGCCAGCCTGGTCTAATTAATGAGTTAAGGACAGCCAGAGCTATGTAGAAAGACCCTGTCTGTAAAAAAAAAAAAAAAAAATTAAATTAAATGCTTCCTGAATGCCAAGCAAAAGGAACTTTTTGAATAAAGCTTTGTTTTTATAAGTCCAAAACAACCACAGAGCAGACTCTTGCTGTCTAGGGGTGAGTCAGATGTGGGTCAAGGGCTTTGGGTTGTGCGCATAGGGAGAGGCTGAAATGGGGTGAGATACCAGATACCCAAGGGTCCTACTGACTGGGGGCCTCTGTGGACTCAGGTCAACACCTCGGCGTGACGAAATGTAACATCACATGCCACAAGATGACCTCACCAATCCCTGTGGCTCGGCTCATCCACTACCGGCTGAATCAGGAATCCTGCGGCAAGCGCGCCATCATGTACGTATTACCTATCACTCGGGTCCTCAGAAGGCCCTGGGACCTCCCAACCCTCTCCTGCCTGCCTCACCCTGGGCTTCCTGCCAAAGGCCTTGGCAAGTGCGCCCTTGCTGCAGGCCCACAAGCTACCTCACTGACCTTATGATCAGTGGCAAACAACAGAGGTGAGGAATGCCCACTGTGGACCAGGGCAGTACCCAAGGTGGTGCTTCCTTTCAGGCCTGTCTACACAGCCCTCAGCCCGTTAGATCCCATGGGGCAGTTGAGTGAGGTGGTCTACCAGAGGCAGGATCCAGGCTCCAGCAGGTCAACCAGAGGCCCTGATCACTTCCTACATCCACACCTCAATTTCCTCATCTGGGAGATGGGTGGCAGGAGGGGAAGAGGAGGTGGGGGAACTAAAGTGGGTGGCTGAGCCCTTGGAAGGCACATGGATGGCTGTTACCAAGTGGCAAAAGACCAGAGCCCTCAGGACCACTGGGGAGGAAACAGGCCCAGTCAGTAATCATTTTCTACCTGGCCAGTTTGGTCCCTTGTTCTGTCTGGGGCACATGGTGAGTTTTGCCCATTTGCTCAGTCTGAATCTTCCCTAGGACTGATGGAGGCCCCTGAGCAACCTTAGCCATGCAGGAAATGCCCAGAGTCCTTCTTAACTCGGGCTCTGCTAGCGGAAGTCCAGTACTTCCTGTCCCCTAGACAGCTCCCCCAAGGAGTGAGGTTCAAAATGCCTTCCTGCCTGCCCTCTCTGCTTCCCCACCACGGATTGCTTTTTTTTCAGATACCTTCCAAATAGTTGCTTCTGTCTTCTGAGGAAAGTGGAAGAGGGGTACATGGCACCCTTGCAGTTGGGCACACTTCTTTGTCTGTCCACCTCATCTTCCTGCTGGTTAAATGTGGTTAGCCTGCCGGCTGCAATGCATACAGGCTGTATGACCTGCAGAGGTTGTAGCGTGGACCGGTAATCAGCTCTGAGCTGCTGTTGGGGCAAAGCAGCCATACACAGCCTCACAGGAGGCCACAGATTTAGACCACACTCAAGATCCCAGTGAGGATCCTGAACAGCTTTGGCTCTGAAAAGTTGCTTCAGCCTGAGGACAAAACCTAGAAGAGGAAGTTGGGGGCCAGAGGGCAGCCATCACCATGGGACAGGGAGCTCACGCACAGGATCTTTCTAGAGTGAGGAAACCTGCCTTGTCACATAGCTGGTGTCAGAGAACACCTATGACATCCCCAGATCAAAGTCCAGAGCTGCTGGCCTTTATGGCAGTGATGTGGTTATTAATGCTATAATTGTTATGATGCCTGCTCTGTTTTTCGCTAGGTTCCTTACCCTTTATTTTGCTTAGCAATAACACAGAAGTAGGGTTCCCATTTGCCCGGGACTTTCCTGGTTTTGAAAGGGGAAGTCCCTCAGGCTGAAAATGCCTGTTCCGAGGTGGTGGCGGTCCCCTCCAGATCACAGACATTCATGTCTCTTCCACGGGCTAGGAGACATAGGGGATGGAGTAGCCCAATGCCTCACACTAGTAAGTCAGGACAGCTTGCCTGCTGGGCATGTGATCAATGCCCCACACCACTCCAGTCTGGCTGTCTAGAATCTGGGCATCACCAGCCACTGTCTTCCTTATAGCTTGGAGACGAAACAGCACAGACACTTCTGTGCTGATCCAAAGGAGACATGGGTCCAAGACGCCATCAAGCACCTTGACCGCCAGGCCACTACTCAGCCTCAGAACAGGGCCAAGTTTGAGAAGTTGGTCAATGTGACACCTGGGATCACCCTGGCCGCCAGGGGACTGTCCCCATCTGCACTGGCAGAGCCTGAAGTCACAGTGGAAGGCCTTACTTTGGAGCTGACTACTATTGCCCAAGAGGCCCAGAGGCCCATGGGGACTTCCCAGGAGCCGCCAGCAGCAGTGACTGGATCTTCTCCCTCTACTTCCAAGGCTCAGGATGCAGGGCTTTCAGCCAGGCCTCAAACTACTGGGATTTTTGAGGAGTCTGCTGTCTCTACCACCATTTGGCAGAGTTCTGCTGTCTACCAATCTGAATCTAGGCTCAGGGCTGAGGAGAAGGCTACTGAGCCCCCATCCACTACAGCCCCATCTACCCAGGCACCCACCATTTCCCATTCAACCCCGGAGGAGAATGTTGGGTCTGAAAGCCAGCCCCCATGGGTCCAGGGACAGAGCCCCAGTACAGAGAAGCCTCTAGGGCCTGAGGAAACAAATCAAGCTCATACTGATGATTTCCAGGAGAGGGGGCCTGGCAACATAGTCCATTCCTCAGTGGCCCCCGTCTCCTCTGAAGGGACCCCCAGCCGGGAGCTGGTGACTTCAGGCAGTTGGCCTCCCAAGGCAGAGGAGCCCATTCATGCCACTGCAGACCCCCAGAAACTGAGCGTACTTATCACTCCTGTCCCTGACACCCAGGAAGCCACCCGGAGGCAGGCAGTAGGGCTGCTGGCCTTCCTGGGCCTGCTCTTCTGTCTAGGGGTGGCCATGTTTGCCTACCAGAGTCTCCAGGGCTGTCCCCGCAAAATGGCAGGAGAGATGGTGGAAGGCCTCCGCTATGTCCCCCGTAGCTGCGGCAGTAACTCGTATGTCCTGGTGCCAGTGTGAGTTGCCTGCCTGCCTGCCTGTGTCCATTGTTCGATTCAGACAGCTGTCTGGGGACCCCCATCCTCATACCCACCTTCACCCAAAATGAGGCAGTGGGAATGGGGAGGCTGGGTCCTCCAGGAGCCACGTGCTCCAAGCCCCCAGTTGAGGCCCTGGAGGCCACCTTTTGCCATCACCCCCTTATCAGAGACAGCCGGTGACCTTCCAGCTCACCTATATTTGAAAGACTCCTCTGCTGCTGGCTGGTTGGAGGGGCCCTTGACACACCAACCCTAGTGAACAATTATTTATTGAATTCCCAGGCCCCATGACACCTGTCTCCTGTGAGCACCGTAGTCCACCCATCTCAAGCAGCAGGTCAGGCCCATTTGCCTGTCCCTCTGACCTCTTCACATCCTGGGTTTGCTGCACTTGCCAGCCCCTCCCCCTCCCTGGCCAGCTGCGGTGCTATCTCTCCTATCTCTCCCTGTCCCCTGTACAGAGCACATTACCGTCAGCACCATCACCACCACCAATGCCCTGTTGTGTCCTTTCTTGCATGAGGTTACCGCTGTGTCTCCTGGAGCTCTCTGGGAAGGGAGATGAGCTAGCGTGGGATTTTGCTGCACTCCTCCCCAGGCTGTGCAGTGACAGCATGCTCCATCTGAAGGTTGGGTCTAGACCCCACTCCTCCCCAGGCTGTGCAGTGACAGCATGCTCCATCTGAAGGTTGGGTCTAGACCCCACTCCTCCCCAGGCTGTGCAGTGACAGCATGCTCCATCTGAAGGTTGGGTCTAGACCCCACTCGGCCATCTGCAGAACAAGGTGCCCCATCTGTAACAGAAAAGAAGCGTGGCCCAGAGATGGCAATACCCCATGGCCCTGATGTCGTCACTTCCTCTGAGATCCTTGTCCCCATCCCTGGATGCAGCCCCCAGCCCTTCTCCACGCCGACAGTCACTGCCATCCCACTGGACTGACACCTTTGCACCCTGTGACTCTGAGGACGGGCAAGGGTGACTTGAGGGTTCAGGTCGTACCCTGTGGGCCCCTACATGGAGGCTGAGTTGGGGACCTGCAGAACAGAGGCCAACTCAGAAGGTCCCTCTGTGTCCTCACTAGGCACCCCTACTCCACGCACCAAGATGACAGCCACAGGTCCGCCCTGCCTGAAAGACAAGCCACAGAAGAGGATGACGAGCCCTTGGGAGGCAGAGGATCCAGGGTAAGCACCAGGAGCGGCCACACACCTGACTTAAGTTTAGGGACTTGAGCATGTATGTGCCCAGCCTTCATGGTTCAGAGGCTGGGTCCTCTCTCAGCTCTGAAAGCACAGTTCACACCAAGGTCTCACCTTTGCCCCACTACAGGCAGGGCCAGAACTCCCATAACATTCTCTAAGAGTCCTGTGAAAATTTCTGGAAGGGACTCTGCCCTGGGCACAAAGTGACTGCTAAAGCCTCCAGCATGTCCAGCATGGAACAGTTGGGCAATACCTATACTCCAATAGCTGGAGCTGGACCTGCAGACCTTGCCCCCACCAGGGTCCTTGGTGGCAGCTCTCCCAACCCTACTCCTAATAGCCCCAATCCTCCACCTTCGGAGCCTCCCGTGGGCAGGTTTCACCCAGAAGTGACTCACTCCTTGGTAGGTAGAAACTCAGGACAGTTGGCTCTGTTCCAGAGTGAGGAAACCAGCCCCTCGATGACCCTCCCTCCTGGAAAGTTTGTGGGAGGCTCTGGTCTGGCGCTGTGGGCTGGAGGAACAGCAGCCTGTGTGCACTTTGTCCTGGCTCCTTCAGTGTGGAGCCTTCAAGGGTTGGGGCGTCCACTTCCCTATTGAGAAAGCTGCTGGGGCGTGTGTCCCCTTGTTAGACTTTGTGGGTTCTCCCCAACAGGATGTGTTGCCAAGACAATCTGGGGAGGACTTCGGAAGGAGTTGGTCAATCCTTTGGCTTTTTCAAGCATCATTACCAATGTCTGTGCCATTTTGTATTTTACTAATAAAATATAAAAGTCTTGTGAATCAAATAAGAATGCTTTTCTCTGGGGCAGGCCCAGGGAGGGCCAGGAGAGGGGACAATGGCGGGGGGGTGGGGATAGAACACTGGGCAAATTCTGAGACCCTGTCTCTAGCTCATTTGTACCAGGGCAGGAATTTTACAGAAGGCAGTGCAGATGGGAATAAGGAGAACTGGGCCCTGGGCTAGCTCGGGGCTGCCTTGCTGTGCAATGTTGTGAGCCAATGCCTTCACCTCTCTGGGCCTCTATGCATATGGGTATATCTGGCCTGTTGGTCTAATAAGATTCAGGATCCCTGTGGGTACTACTCAGAGTCCCAGGAACCACCACCTAAGTACCCCTGATATTGCTGCCTCTCGCCTGGTGTCCACAATTTCCTCTACAGTGTCTGCTCATCCCTGGTTCATATGAAGATGAGAGAGGGACCGGCTCTTCTAAAGAAACCAGGAAACTCATTTGTAGGACCCCACTGTGAGCTGTCGTGCACGCTGAGAACAGCACAGGGTCAAGTCCAGCAGCCTATTGCTATCGTTCGTGAACTCACAGATGGACATCTTTTAAAGCAGGATCCTTCCTCTCTTCATTTTATATATTTATTTACTTATTTTTACTTTTTGGAATAGTGGTAAGACCCAGGGCCTCAAGCCTGCTAAGCAAGTGCGGTGCTCCTGATCTTTTTCCAGTGTTGTTTTGAGACATTATCTGACTGACCTTGAACTCATTCTGTAGCCCAGGCAGGTCTTATACTCCTCCCGCCTCAACCTCTTTGTTGAGCAGCTAGGATGACATATTCTGCTGTTATTAAATATTAGGGCATGTTTCCGTCAATAACATCTTAGACTCAGTGTCTGTCTATAATTAGAGGCAGCATAGGGCTGGAGAGGTAGCTAAGCAATCATGAGCGCTTGCTACTCTTGTAGAAGGCGCAGGTTTGGTTCCCAGCTTTCCCACCAAACAACTCACAGGGGATGTGACACTCTCTCCTGGCCTTCACAGGCACCTAACATACACATTGATTTTTCTATAGTCTCTCAATGACCGGAAGCATCCGACACCATCGGCCTGTGTTCCCCGCGGGTGACAGGTGGGGGTTAAGAGTGGGACTTAGAGCCTGTGCATCCGCTATCCTTTGCATGTCAATCGTCCCCCACTCTCTGCGCTCCAGGTTCTCTGGGCTCCATCAGTTGCTGGCTGCCATCATCATTCTCTTGGTTTTCCTATGGTTAGAATGTTTTTCCTGGTGCTCCCGTGTCGATCAAAAACACAGCAATGAAAGGCAGACCATGACTTCACTTCCCTCACTTCTGGGGCCTCCCTCCTACCCATTTGCATCAGGAGCAGGGACTTGCAGTTCCTGAAGGATGGGGGCTGCCTCCCCCCCCTCCCCTGCAAGCCACAGTTAGCTCTCCCACTGTGGCGGGAGCTCTTCAGACCTTCATCCTACTGACCTGATTCCCACAGCCAAGAAGGAACCACTACAGCCTGTCATCCCAGGCTCTTCCCACCCTGCAGGATGTGGCCACGGGCTTTCGGTTGGCATTGCTGCAGGTACTGGTAACATCCTATGAAGGTTCAGGAAGAGGAAGGGAGTGGGGAAACTTGGATCCTGGTTCAGGGCTCCCCAGGGGCTTGCAGTGCTGCGGCCTCTCATTTTTATTTTCAGTTAGCAAGCTAGACTCAGCCAAAGCAATTCCTACCACCGACGCCAAGTTTGAAAGGGCAGTTATTCTAAAAACCCCCATGCAATCATGCTAATAGCGACCATTCTTTCTTCATGGTTTCCACATGCCAGGCTGGGTGCCAAACTCTTTCCAGCAGTGAGCTTTACCATGCAAGTAAAGTTTGCCAAGGACATGTGAACTCGGCCTGAGGGTGCAGCTCAGCAGTAGAGTACCTGACCCTGTGTGCCATCCCTAGGGCAAGATGTGGAGATGTGTGACTTGCTCCAGTCCACAGGTACTGCAGAGCTGGCACGTGACCAAACCTTTCTCCAAACCTCGAGGAGTATGTATTAGGCTTTGAGGGTTTTCGTTTTGGATGGTGAGACCAGCTCACCCTGTTTGGCCCAGGCTGGCTTTGATGCTCTCTCCCCTGGCCTCTCCCTACTTAACTACCCTACAAAAAGTCCAGCAGGCATAGAGGAGCAGAGCCACCTGCCGAACGGAGCCTGGATAGTCCACCCTCCCCCTCACCCTTCCAAGTGCTGGGATGTGTGCCACCATGCCCTACTTGGCACTGTTTCTGAAAACATGAGCCCCAGATTCATAAATGTGCAAAGTCCTGAGGTCCCTCAGACCTCCTGCATTCACCCCCTAGGGGTGAGGGCCTGGGACTTTAGCCATTAAGCTGCACCCCCTCTTCTTCCTTCGCCTCCTTCTCACACTTAGACTTTGTTACATGGCCAGAGTTTTAGAGCCCACCTCAGCAGGTGCCCCCCTCCCTGCAGAGCATCAGGGACGCTAGACAGTAGCCAGCCTCACCTCTCCCACATTAGGACCTTACATTCACTTTCATCTGTGGCTCCGATGTGCATTGCACAGAAGGGCGAGACCAGACCAAAAAAAACAACCGCATAAATGAATAACTGGGAATTTCCAACTTTGAGCTGAATAATAGATGTTTGGGGAAGGGTTGTGTGTGTGTGAGTGTGTGTATGAGTGAGTGTGTGTGTGTGTGTGCACGTGTGTACTAGCAAGCAAGCGTGCACATGTAGAGTATGTATGTTCAAGTGTGGTATGTGCATGCATACAGCTGCTCTGAGCGGTGGGGACTCAGGACTCAAAGGTCCATGCGCATGTGCTCAGTAAAAAAAAAAAAAAGGTTTCAACTCCAAGGACTTGAAAACCTATTTCCAGGATGGCTTGCCTGAGCCAGCAGCCATGTTCAGTAGCTACGACCTCCGAGAAACCTCTGTAATGTCAATACACTGCAGCCAGCGCAGCCACCACAGCCAGAGAACTCCAGAGCGGATGCCCTTCCTCGACCTCCAGGGGACTCTGCTGCCCCTAGGGAGCAGAACAGAACTGTCTCTAACAAGACAGGGACGCTGTGTAACCTGGGGCTTGCTGACTGTGTGACTCTGGCTGAGTTACTTAACCTCCCTGTACCTTGTTCTTCTCCCATATAAAAGAGGAATCATAACTAGAGTGAAAACAGTCATAACATAATCCTCACCAAGCATCTAAGAAAAGTGATGTGTCCCAGTGGGTTCCCAGGAAGTAAACAGGACCCCTGATCCACGTTTCCAAATGGTTTGACTCCCCCCACACACAAACACACTTTTAAGACATGATCTTGAGGGCTGAAGAGATGGCTCAGTGGTTAAAATCCTTGCTGCTCTTCCCAAGAATCTGAGTTCAGCTCTCCCACCCACAGCAGGCTGCGGAACTGCTTGTGACAATAGTTCTAGGGGATCTGATGCCCTCTTCTGGCTTCCACAGGCACCATATCATGTACGCATACTCATACATACTCATACATCATGTATGCATACTCAGACATACACATAACAAATAAATAATGAAGAAAGGCAAGGTCTCACATAGACCTGATGGGCTTTGAACTCACCATGTAGCCAAGGGTGACCATGAATCCCTAATCTTTCTGCCTCTTCCTCCTGACCACTGGGATTGCCACCACGCCTAATTGGGGGGAATGAGGGACAGGATATCATCTGTTACCCAGGCTGACCTCAAACTATTGGGCACAGGATCCTCTCAACCCCAGCCTCCCAAGTACCCGGGAATACACAGTGTTATCGGGTATTCAAATAAGAGCATAGAATCACGGTGACCATAAATAAATACAGACTTCCCAGTCTTCAGTGAAGTAAAGAAATATGTCATCAGAGCCAGACATTGCTCATATTTGCTTGTGCCTGTAATCCCATCACTAGAGAGGCAGAGGCAGGGGGATTGTGGAGAGTTCAAGGTCAGCCAGGGCTATAGTTGTGAGACCTGTCTCAAGAAAAGCAAGAGGAGGAAGAAGCAGCAGGGGAGAATAAAGAAAAAAACATTATTGTATTAAGAAGCAGATGAGAATAATCTGTAATTTGGGGCTGGTGAAATGGCTCGGTGGTTGGGAGCCCTGGCTGCTCTTCCAGAGGTCCTGGGTTTGGTTTCCAGCAACCACATGGTGATTCATAAGCATCTTGACCTCCAGTTCCAGACTTTCAGGAAATCAGACGCCATCTTCTGGCCTCCTCGGGCACTGCAGGCACATGGATACACATCCATACACATAAAACAAAAATGCATAAAATGTCAAACAAAAAAAAAGAAAACAACCTGCAATTTGCAGTATTTCCCCCTAAACTGTTTCTTGCTATTCAAGTTGATAGGGGTTTTCTCCTCTATTGTTTTGAACTTAGTGAAGTAAAATTATTGAATCACAAATGATTCAAACCTGACTATTAAGATGCTTGGACGGAAAGGGAAGTTTTTAAGTTTTCAGGTCCTTGGAGACTGGGGTTGTTATGGATGTTTCTGGCTTGCTGCCGCTCAGGCACATGACCTGGCACTCCTCTTGGACTGGTGGGGCTGAGCCAGCAGCTCTGGTGGGAGAGATGGGAGGAGGGTGTGGATCTCAACTTGGCAGTCTGTAGGGGCTGATTAGATGGGCACTCATCAGAGCCTCCATGGCACACGGAGCAAATGGGGTCTTAAGTGAGTTCATGCTATGGACATGGCTGTGGGCGTGACAATGACCCGAATGCCTCCGCTCCAGGTGAGACTCAGAAGGACGGCAAAGCCTTCCTTGGGTCCAAGTGAAAGTGCTGACCAAGTGTGCAGAAAATGCCTCCAAAGCTTTCTCTCCCCCGACTCCCACAGCTGCTCCTCTTCAGAGCCTGCTCCCACTGCAATTAGCGAAACCAGCCTCCTTGTCCAGCTGTGTGCAATCACCCTGCCTCTTCGTTTATCTGTCTGTAACAGCTCTGCCTCTCTGTTCGAGGGTACATATGAGCAGGCCGAGTGTCTGGAGTGCTGGGGCTTCTCCGTCAGATGTTTCTG